AATACAAGCGCGCTCATGCTCACATGTGTACACACGGGGACTCACACACACAAACTACACCCTTTTTGGCTTCTACCTCGAAGCACACCGTGCGCTGTCAATCTTATGTGCTGCACAATAATGTTTAATATTTAGTATTTACTGTTACATTCACATAGATCATAGTGATGATGTTGTTTATTATGTTGCTCTTTTTTTTTTTTTTCTTCTGCTTGTTTTCTCTTTTTTCTTTCTCAACAGTTGATCCAGGTGATCGATATATGTATTTTTTGTCTGCTTATTTTTGCCCTTTATCCCTGTCCCTCTTCCCCGCTGTTTTTCTTTCCCTTTCTTTCTCCCCTTTCTTTTTCCCAGTCAAGTCTGTCCCGTATTTAACAAGTGAAAATAAAATAAACAATAAAAGGTGAATCAAATAGACCAATACGGCAAGGCTAGGATGGTCCGTTTGGTAAAGTAAATCCGTTGGGCATCTTTCTTCGCCTTTAGACAATAATTCTGATGGCAAAAGAGCCAAACGGGACAGGCAAAAAAAGAAAAAAAAGAAAAAAGCTGGTGCTCAGGGGCTTTATCGTTTCCTGCTGTTGTGGAGGTTTCAGAAAGGCTGCTGAACCTTGAACAGTTTTTTCCGACTTCCTTGTAAACATACTTCCGGTATTGTAGGAGTCTGATGAACTGTCATATTCAGAGAAGACACAGTAAAGAGAATAAACTGCATTGTGTTGTCTCCAGCAGGATCCTGGATGATTCCGCATGGCTTCAAGTCCAGATCTTACAATTATGCTCCTGGGAAATTCAGGAGTTGGGAAAAGTGCTTCAGGAAACATGATTCTGGGATATGATGCTTTTGAGTCCAAACCGTCCTTCAGCTCTGTGACCAGGAAAATCAATGAAGCAACTGAAAGAGTGTTTGGGAAGCAGATCTCCATCATCGATACTCCAGGAATACTAGACTTCAAGGAGGAGATTGAAAGGTGGTGTCATGATCTCCTGCGGTCCTCAAGACCGTGTCTGTTCCTGTTGGTGATCAGTGTTGGAAGGTTCACAAGGGAACAAAAGAAGGCTGCGAGGGAGACAATTTCAGTGCTCAGAGTAGAAGACGATGGGCTGGAAAAGAGCTACATACTGTTCACAAACGGTGACGGCTTAAAGGAAAAAACAGTGGAGGATTTTATCTTTGAAGATGATGAAAGTTCACTTCCAGACATTGTTAAAGAATTTAAAGGGAAGTATTACCTGTTCAATAATGAGACAGGAGAAAGGGAACAAGTGAAACAGCTGCTGATAAAGTCAGGACACCTTCAAACAACAGATCAACAATCTCACCTCTCAGGTATCATGCTGGCTTGCATTATTTGTCAGATAACGTCTGTGAGTTACTAATATGAATTGTCCAAGTGGGTTTTAATGATGAGCATAGTTCGGCAGATTGGCTGTCCCAGAGGTGAAGGACATCACTGTGTACTTCCGGTTTTGTTCTATAAATTCACTTCAGTTACGTTGAACAGGCACAACAGTCATCTAATTTTATTGTAAGATAAAAAGCACACAGTATCAACTCTGAAACTATGAAAAGGTCATTTTTAATGTCTTTCGTGTTTTTTATTTATGTTCTCCTCCCTGCAGGTGCTAGCTGTGGGGCGTTTGGCAGACCGCAGGATACGAGAGTCGTCCTGATTGGTCTTCCTGAAGGAGGGAAGAGTTCAACAGGAAACACCATCCTGGGATGCAAGATGTTCAGCACAGACTGTGACTTTAATGCAGTCTGTACTGAGACTGTGTCAAAGTCAGCAGAGGTGGAGGATCATTGGCTGACGGTGGTCGACACTCCAGGATTCACTGATGAAATATTAACTCCTGAGCAGCTGCACAGGGAGATGACAAAGACGTTTGTGGAGACCAGTCCAGGTCCACATGCCTTCGTTATTGTGGTCAAAATAGGCAAGATGTCCAAAGCAAATACCACACTGCTTCAAATATTGCAACAGCTGTTTGGCAGTGGTGCTAAAAACTATACCATGGTACTTTTTACTCATGGAGACAAGCTCAAAGGTCAGTCCATTGATGAGATGATTCAGTCCAACAGATGTGTGTCTGAGCTGGTCTCCATGTGTGAAGGCAGATTCTGTGTGTTTGACAATACAAAGAGTGGAAACAGACGGCAGGTTCAGACCTTGATGAATAAAATAGATGACATAGTTAAAGCTAATGGAGGAGGACACTACACCTCTGAGATGTTTCAGATGGCTGAGACGTTCATTAGAGAAGCTGAAAGAACTCAGCACAGTCAGGCAGACAGCAACGATTCGCCACAGCAAACAGCACAAAGGCGAATGCTGCCTTTCTGTCAGAGGCTTTGGAATAACAACTGCTGCAGTTTTCTGGCATGTTTTTGTTGTTGTCGAAGCACAACGGACTCAGACGATGATCAGCAGCCGTTGCTTCAGCAATAAATCTATGATTGCATGACAGTAACACAAAATACCACTCAGTTAGGGATCGCACCCCTCTGTTGTTAATAGAAGTTATTACCAATCACACAAGTTTTCTTAGAAGAAGTATTTGGTTTCTGCCTCTTTAACTTGTTGCACTGTGTTTATATTAGACAGCTTCCCATGATGTGCTTGAAATAATCAGGACCTTTGATAAATTGACCTCTCTCTTAATCTGAGGCCCCAGCTGTCGAGGTACGGGGAGCAAAGGAGGGGGGGTTCAGTTTCATTGGCTGTAGCACCAGGTCGGGTACGTAAGTGCCGAGGTAGGTATCCCCAACAGAATCAGTTTCCCCCGTGTCGGGAGCACGCAAACAGGATCCCTCATTCTTGATTTTTAGTTCACAAAAACGTCTTACAATGACTCCTGAAATGTTGGATTTTGTTGTAACCCACAAACTGAACGTTAACGTCAAGACGCTTATCTTTCACTTTTTCAGTAAACTAAAACGTCACTACTTCCACGTCTAGTTGTTGGAATGGAGCCAGAGTCAGCTGGATCTGCTCTTCCTGCCCAGTGCGCGCTGCCGAATCAGGGTAAACAAATTCTGTCTGGAATAACAGCCTTGGCACGACACCTGCATGTGTGGTATCAACCGAAACATCTGAATCTCAGCTAAAAGCTCATATAAACCATTTCTACATCAAACCATTTCTACATCCAACTATCACAGCGAAAAGAAGAAACAGTAAAAAGACTAGTTGCGTCATTTAGCCGCCTTTGTTGTAGCGTTTTTGTTAAATATTAATTGCGTCGCATGACGCACAGATAGTTTGCTATGCTATAGTGAATTAATTAAAAAGAGGGGTCAGTCGTGCAGTTCGACCAACAGAAACCGAAGTTACAGCCTGTTAGTTAGTTCAAAGGGACAGAGGGCATTTAAACTGACAGTAGAGCAAGGAAAAAACGGCCCAGTGTTCGTGAGAGTGGTTGGCAACTCTCCAAAAAAAAATTTTTTTTAAGCATGTCAATAAAGTTAAATAATTTCTGCTGTTCAAAAAACTTCAACTGACCAACGTTCAGTCATCCATCCAAATGTGCCAAACCACCTGATGATCTTTCACTCTTTCACTTCAGATGTATATATAGAGTTTGTAATGGCAGAGAAGTACTGCATTCATTTTGAGCATGTCAAACAGGTTTCCTTTGACAGAAGCCTTTCTTTCTTTCTTTTAACATGAATGTATCTTGCTGTGTAGAGTAACATTTCAGTGGGTTTTGCATTCAACTTTGGTACTGCTCTCACACCAAGTAAATCTGGGGGGATCTCTGATACCAAATACCTGAGCTCACACTTAAACTTATGAAGTCAGACGGGTGCATAGACAATACACAGCTGAATGTGATTCACTGAACTGCTGGAAACTGCATTAACAAATAACTGCAAACCTTTTAATTGGCCCTAAAACTAAATCCAACCAGCTTATTTACAGGTCAGGGGCATTAGCTGACAGAGAAAAGTCCATTCACACTGATTTTACGACAAACATTGACTTCTTCCATCTCAGGAGTATTGCCAAGATGTGATATTTCCTGAGTCAGCGTGACTCTGGAAAAACGTCTGTGCATTCATCTCTAACTGGAAAACTGTACGGCTGCAGACTTCAAACCTCCCAAACTCTAAACAAATGGCAGAGAGCACATCAGCCCAGGTTTGCTACTCACAATCCCACAGAGCTGATTTTAAACAACACTGTGGAACGATGAGTTAGAAAAAGAAACTGCCAAGCACATATTTAGCCAACCAGCGATTAAAAAAAAACACACACACCAAATTCTTTATCAGTGTCACGTCAGCATTATGCTTCTAAGTCTGTTTGCTTTTATATTTTTATTTTTAGATTGTGTTTTTCTAAGTTTACGTTTATTATGATGGCCATTAGCTGCGGGCGTCACCGATCTTTACATTTTAACAATGCATTACAAATTAGGCCTCACATCAGGGTCAATATTGACAACGTGTGTGTAACGTTAGCTTGATGGACTGTCATTACTACACCACACATAATATTTCAAATTCATGTTGCCAATTTTAACAGTCGTCAAAGGTCAGACGATAATCCAGTTTCACTGGTTTCTTGTATTATATGTATTGGTCACAGGTTCTTGTACAAAACTGTTCTTTTGAGTGAACTGGTTCTTGCTTTGGGGAATAAAAACCTTCTGTCTAGTAAAGTATTCATGTCCATCTGTACTGAAATACTTTTTTTTTTTTTTTACGTAAAATGTTTGGAATCTTTGTACCAGTAATATTTATAATAAATACAAGCAAAGAATAAAGGAAACTATATTCTACAATTAACCAACAAATGCCATTTTTTTTAAAAATCCTGTCCTGTCTAGCAGTTTTTGCCAGACTTACAATCTGAATCCACTGTGGTGCATTTTGCTGTTGCAAGAACAGCCATAGAGTCTCTACAGGCTCCTCTGGTTCACGTGACTCATTTACCTGCTTACTTCTTTTTATTTGTGTTTTTTCAGTTATTACATTATATCTGGTAAAGTATGACAATGTGTAAGGTAAGACAGGCAACCACTCCCACCACGGTAAAGGCGGGGGAGGCAGTCTACACCTTCACCTGAACAGACCGAAACCAGCGTGTGCTCAGCAGCAGCTTCACTGAGTGTGCTCCGTGCACGCTCAGTGTTCATGTGCCAGAGTGACACCGCAGGATGGTGAGTCAGTGCTCACAGGCACTTACAGGCCCTGTTTCAGTCTCAGTGTGAGTTTACTTCCCCTCTGACCACAGCGAGGTTCAGCTTCTGTCTCTCACTGACTGCAGGGCGGACCCTCCACAGTTAAACTACACACATGCAGCCCACACTGTGCACAAATTCAACTTCTATGTTACTTTATATTACATTTACATCATGGTTATGTTTACATTCAATTCAATTTTATTTATATAGCGCTAAATCACAACAACAGTCGCCTCTCAGCGCTTTATATTGTACAGTAGGTCCTACAATAATAGATACAGGGAAAAACTCAACAATCATATGACCCCCTATGAGCAAACACTTTGGCGACAGTGGGAAGGAAAAACTCCCTTTTAACAGGAAGAAACCTCTGGCAGAATCAGGCTCAGGGAGGGGCGGGGCCATCTGCTGCGACCGGTTGGGGTGAGAGAAGGAAAACAGGATAAAGACATGCTGTAGAAGAGAGACAGAGGTTAATAAGAAGTATGATTCAACGCAGAGAGGTTTATTCACACATAGTGAGTGAGAAAGAAGCACAAGATGCATCATCTGCAAAGCTGTGAAAATGCATACTATGTCTTCTAATGATACTGCCTAAGGGAAGCATGTATAATGTAAACAGAATTGGTTTGACAACTACTCTTTCAAGGATTTTTGAAATGAAAGGAAGGTTGAAGATAAGCCTATAATTAGCTAAGACAGCTAGGTAAAGATACATAGAATAGAATGCCTTTATTGTCACTATACGGTTGTACAATGAGATACAGAGCATCTCCTACTCAGTGCAAACATTAAAGGGGGGGGGACACAGTTCTGCACATAGAATTTGGTATTGCACAGTGGTGGTTCATAGAGTAACGTAAGGAAAAACCGGTTAGGCTAAGAAGTTTGATTGAGCAATGCACTGATTGTAATGAATTAAGTGCCCTAGAAAGTACTGCAATCATTCAAGATAACTTGTGTTCCTCCAATTCCTTGCTCTGCAATCACAACCACGCTGCCGTGACCCGGATTCGAACCGGGGTTGCGGCCACAACGCAGAGTACTAACCACTATACGATCACAGCTGGCGCGCTACATTATGCTGTCAGTTGCAGTCTGTATCTTGCAGTTGTCTCACTCCACTATATATACCCGAACAGTGACCTGTACGATGCGCAAAAGAACAGCAGACATTATTTACCGTCAGACCACTGTCACTGTAAAATAGGAATAGTGATTTCCATAATGCGTGTCTGGAGCACTCTGGTGGCATAAGTAGGTAGTGCTGAAAGGTCAAATTTTTTAAAGCACATTTAAAACCACAGAAGTCCACACAAAGTGCTTTCCAGGCAAGTGCATTCACTATGATCCAAGTATAGACATGACCATCTAACAGAGGAACTGGGCTGCACTGATCTCCTCCCCATTTTCATGTAGAAGAGGCCTCTTCATCACGTATCTTAGACCAGTACTCAGGCACGTGCAGAGGGGGGGCGGGGCTAGAGGGGCTTGAGCACCCGCCCTTTCCTGATGGGTGCCCAAAGTGCCCTTTTGTTGAGGCAACTTTTTAAAAAAAATTATTATTATTATTATTTTTAATGTGTGTGTGCGTGCGGAGTCCTGTCTGTGCCCCTCAACAATAATATTTAACTATTGATCACAGTTTTGCTAAATAAAAGGATCTGGCTTGCATCAGTCACATGATCACATTTAACCAATGATCGCCC